AGAGAGAGAGAGAGAGAGAGAGAGAGAGAGAGAGAGAGAGAGAGAGAGAGAGAGAGAGAGATTTGTGACGTTGGGATGATTGACGACATTTGGATACAGACTTGACCTTGGGGCAGAGACATTGGTGGGGCACTATTTGGGATCGATACCAACGCCATTTGTGTTGACGACATTCTCATCTCCTCCCTCCTCTTCGTCTGATCCCCCTCCTCTTCATCCGTGTACGATCTGCGCCTGCCGCATTCTTCCTGTGTGCAGCGCCAGGCCCCTTCACACTTTGCGATGATGACGGCGTATGTTTGGTCTGATCATTGGTATTTTACCCTTCCGCTGCGCTATCCTGTACTATGAGAGAGAGGTCGGTTCTTGTTCTGGTCTGCACCATTACGGTATGCGACAGGTAGGTTAGTGGATACACTGGATAGATCAAGACACAGCGACAGTACTGAGATTTGTCTTTAGAAAGACATACAGGAAATAGTAGGATGAACAAGGATAGGAAAGGGATTTGACAGGGATCCGGTAAGGATTTTTCTTCGACTCTGGTAGCTACCTGAGTAGGTCACGATGGTCCCGGGTCTGTATCTAGTTATGGGTTCTGCAAGTAGGGTTCCAGCAATTAATGATGTTGCCTCCCACATGGGCGGACCCGTAGGCCAGGCTACTCGCTTGGGCGGTCCAGGTAGAGTCCGAGTAGAGGTGGAGGCTCTGAGGTGGAGGCAGTCAAGCTGCTGCTCCGCTCTGAGGGAGAGTCGGGTGAAACACTGGGTGGGGGCAGGAGTTGAGGGTGATGAAGCAGACCTCCGTGGCTATGAAGGATGAGTAGGAGTAGGAGGGAGAGGTCTTGGCTATCAAGGTAGAGGGATAAGAAACCTAAGATAGGGTATGGAGGCAGGTGGAAGGGTAGAGCAGGAGGAAGAAAGAGGGAAACGATAAGAGAGATGTACTGGGGTATGGAGGTAGGTGGAAGCGAAGATAGAGTAGAGGAGGAATAAAGAGGAAATCGGCAAGAGAAACCTATCTTCGGCTACTGCCAGACCATCTCCACTTCATTGGTGCTCCACTTAGAAGCCTGTAATTTGAACACAATAATAATCATGATAATGAGGGCTTTACTATCATAGTACCATCATCATGAAGTACACCATCGCTGTAAAGGAACAGCAGCGATCTCAACCTTTCTGCCCTTGTACTACTCAGGTCGAAAAGTGCTTCCCGCACTCCGTAAGGTATCCTTTATACTATCGGTTGCTTGAGAACTGACTGCTACTCTACTGCTTCTTCACATGTTCCGAAGTTATACTTTCTAGGAAAAAATGGAAAAACAGCAAGTCGGTAAAAAATGAGAAACAGCAGCCGAAAAAACACTCAAACGGTAGAAAATGGACAAAAATGATCTGTAGGCGATCTGAAGAGGCCCTGCTGCTTCACATTAAGTTACTGGGGTACCGCTGCCGTCACTTTTCCGTAGGCGATCCGAAGAGGCCCTGCTGCTTCGCATTAAGTTACTGAGGTACCGCCGCCGTCACTTTTCCGAGCGTAGTTCCGGGTGTGTTTCCTTTGTAACCGTTTTCCGGCTGTGGTATTTCGAGCTCCGTTATACCCTCTGCTTACCTTTTGTGGCCGTTTCGGTTTCCAGCCTAGTATTCCTCAGAGCCCAGTGCCCAGTCCCGATCTCTGGTCAGCCAGTGTCATACCACTTTGCTAGCTGGTGTGCCAGCTCCTCCCAGTAGCCTCCGCTTCTCCTTCCCACTTTGGAAACCCCCGCAGTAAACGCTTTTGTCGGATATCCCAGCATTCTGATCTCCCTGCAGAAAGTAATTAGGCTCAACCAGGCGGCCCATCTTGTATTCATATTCTGTTTTCTCCTCCAGATCGTGCCTGCCACTACAGCCCATTTTTGGCTCTTATCCCCGAAAGATCCATAATCTTTGATTGTTTTGAAGTGCCTCTCGCCCCCGTCCCAAATTGAGTCCATGTTTTTGAACCTGTGGGTCATGTGTACCCACACAGGAATTTCCGTAACAATAAGATTAGTCTCGAGGAAAGAGACTATTCCACTGCCTGTGTCAGTCCTTTCCCCTGTTTCCAGGGTGAGATCCTGGGGTGGTAGCAGCCCTGGATCTTGTCTAGCCTTTCCCGAGCCTTGGTTTCGTCATCTGGAATCGAACCATTGAACCAAGTAGCTAGTAGGAGGTCGTCCATAAAACGATCTCCTTGGACCAGCTTAGTGTCTCGGCCCAATGATTTCAAAAAACGGGATTCGAAATATATACATAAAATACAAGCTAGGGCAGGGCTGGCTTTCCCACCCGTAGGAATCCCAATTTTTTGTCTCAGAATCTCCCCTTTAGCTCGAAAGAATATGTGGCATAATTGGAATTCAACCATGGATAGGAGATCAGTAAGTCGAATCGAGCGCCAGCCTTCCTCTCGGTGCGATTTCCCGAAAGTAGCCTTCTTCCCCCTAGTTTTTATTCTAACCCATCAGATGCCTCTTTTATGAAAAGGATCCACCAACCAAAAAACGGCAGTTTTAATTTCCTCATGTGGTAGTTTTGTAAACATTTCTTTTATGTCATATGTTCTGAGCATGATGCGTCCATCCATCCCATATTCCTTATGTGTTTCTTCATTTATCCTTCCAATTCGAGATTTTAGAGCACTTGTAGTTGGTACGTTGAAACTCTTTTCTTTCAGATTTTTCATCAGATAATGCAGTGCTGGGATACTGGTTGGACATGGGCAGCATCCGGTAGTGTGGCTATGGTGGTAGGAGATGGGAGAGGCATGGTCGTAGTGCATTTTGCTCTGAACATCCACGCCAACCAAGTGTCACGTGGGTGCAGAAGGTATCAAGTTCGAAGTCCTAGATTGGTGTTGCCTGCACCTATCAGAATACTGTGAAGTACTCTGCGAGAACAGGGATTTTTGAAAGGAGGCTTTTGTACGCATGGCAAAACGTGGAATAGTCCCCCATGGATCATGCTGACATATTAAGATTCTGCAATCAGATAATACTTGGAATCCTGAAATACTACTCTTTCGTAGACAATCCATCATCATTATGGTCGATAGCTCATTAGTGAGGGAGTCTTGTGCATGGATCTTAGCGTGCTCATTTCAAAAGAAGCACGCTAAAGAAATTTGGTTCACAATAGCCAGTTGTCCAACCAGGAGAGGAGAGAGAGAGGGGGCACATGCGTGTGTGNGAGAGAGAGAGAGAGAGAGAGAGAGAGAGAGAGAGAGAGAGAGAGAGAGCACGAAAGGGGAGTTCTTTACCTGCTGGCAGTAAGGGGGATCATTCGGGCATTGATTCTTATTCATTTATTGGATTATTATTGTATTTTAATCTAGGCTGTTTGTCCGGGCACCTGGACATCCAACGTGGTCCTGGATACATGCCTGGGTGGCCGGCCCGGCATGAACCCCGGGCAGGGTTCCAGGCAGCCCCAGCGCCCAAAAAAAAAAAAAAGAAAAAAAAAAAAAAATCAGATAAAAAATATGTTGTGTAGAATTGCAATACAACTTTTGGCTGAGGATCATATCAAAATTCGTCACGGAACCGAAGATAAAAACAACAACAACAGAATCTGACTAAGGTACTGCCCTTTGGACCCCTTTAGCCCCTTAAGAACCAGTGCATACCCCTTCACCCCCCCCCATTTGATAGCCAACGCTCGATAAAAGGAAGGGGCCCGGATTTGGGCTCCTCTGGCCATGCTCAGAAAACATCCATCCAAAAAAAGAAAAAGAAAAAAAGCAGGGCTGATTTTTGCCTGCATGGGGTTGCCCCATGCAGGTGACCCCCCGGGTGCCTTGCCTGGGACGCACGGCCGTGCTGCACAGCTGGGCGAGCCAAGTAGGTTAGATTTTCATGATTAAATAATAAGAAGAGCAGACAATTAGCCTATCCCCTCAGGGTTGACCCTAACCCCTGGCAAGGGATGGAAGGGACGAAGGTGAAGCCCCTACCAAGACCAACCAGGGGGCGCAAGCAAACTGTCTCAGCTGGTGAAGCCAAAGTGCGCTACAGAGGCCGTGGGGAATTGAATGGATGACATGGGGAACTGAACCCAAAACCTCCTGAATGCCACTTTGCTCTACCAACTGAGCTTAGGCTGCTGGCCCTCTTCTTCTTCTTCTTCTTCTTTTTCTTCTTCTTCTTCTTCTTCTTCTTCTTCTTCTTCTTCTTCTTCTTCTTTGCAAGTAGTGATGTATGGCATTGTCTCAAAGTTGAGTCTTGGTTCAAGAATTGGACCGGATCATAGCACTGAGGATGTCCAGCACTCAGTGAATATGGGCATCCTCAGACCAGGACATTTTGGTCGGTTTCTGTATGGAATTGCGGTCAGATACAATATCCACAATGGCCATATTTAAGGTCTGATGCATCCAGCAGAGTTTAGTGTGAGTATGCTCTGATTCAGGCCAGAGCTCTTAACAATTCATCTAAGGCAAGGCACCTTCATAGACTGTGAATTCAATGTCTGGTCAGGTAATCGTCCGATCAATGAACCTTCGTTTCTCAAAGTTTTCTCTGGGATATGCAGTCCCTGATTGACGGCATCTGTCATGGAAATGCAATCAGCCACTCAGGGCTAATGGCGCAGTGTGATCTCGGCATGGCCTGAGCTACAAGGCACCAAGATCACAAATTGGGCCTCCAACTTGAGTAGGTGAAACTCTGGACTGAACCGATTGGCAATCCCTGGAGTAACATGAAAATCCTTGCAGCTTCTCTGATGTGTAAATGTGTTTGGGGTTTCGGTGCGTTTGAAATTCCCTTCTATTTGTTATCAGTGACTTACTGCTATTCAGAAACCAAAAAGTAATAGGCTATTGTGGATGAAGGCACTGTGTCTGCTGATGGCTTGATTTCTCATGGCTGGGCGATATTATGATCTGCGGTTTCCCTCCGCTTACGGAAACGAGACGACAACCTGTACATCCATAAAAGTGTGCTTGCCAGATCAGCTCATGCAGTGCCATGCACAACCTGGTGCACAAGCTCTATTTCCTTTTCTGCTTCGGGTTTGTGCTCCTGTTCAACTGGAGCACTCGAGTGTTGAACGTTTTGCCACGCATACGTTTTCCTTTCCATTTTCTTAGTTTGCTGTCTTCTTCTGCCATAACAAGCATGTTTGTGCCGCACTTTCTTTCCCTGACACTCAACTGCTCTCCTGCTCTGGGTGGCCTGAAGTGTGTGTCTACCAGATTCTGCGGGAGGACGTGCTTAAAGCTCTCAAGTTCAAGTCGTTTGATTATCGTGTGCTGAGCCTGCTACTTTATGGACTCCGTGGTGTGGAGGTATGTGGATGAATCAACGTTCGGCTTACAGAGGCAAGGCATTCATTCTGAGTTGTCGTTTTGGTCTGCCTGAGCAAAGGTGCAAGGAAAATGAGCAATAGCGAGATGACAATGTCCAGAATGCACAATCACATTGAAGGCCAGATAGTATCACAGTGTCCAGAAAGCAGATATGCACCAATATGAATACCAATGAAGAATCACAACACTGAAAACCAATGTCAATGAGAGCTTGCTCTCGGCACCACCAACATGAGTATCCAGGTCCTATCTCCCTACTGGCGCTCGGCGCCCAGCCTACTTCCTACACAGCTACAGTCTGCCTACTAATTGACAATGCAACTGTTGACGTCAGCAGCGCACAAAGTACTTGAAGATGTCGCCCAATGCAGACCACCGCCAATACCAGGTATGTGCCCGCACACCATCATCATCATCATCCTTCTCTCTCTCCCTGACTTACTCCCACGTCTTCCCTCTGTACACCCAAAGACCACCCCTGTGCCTCACTGTAGTCCAAGCCCATCCAGCTATGGAGGCTAGGCTATGGCGCTGCCCTCAGCAGCGCCCTGCTTCCTGCACGACCGCACGCGCTAGCACCGTGCCTCTCAGCGCCAGCAGCAGCCCACGAGCGTCCGCTCCAGCAGCGCTGCCGCCAGCATGCAAATGCTGAATGAGGCTGCTCTGTGGCGAGCTCTTTCCTATATGGAAAGGGCCTGCCTGCCTTTGCAGCCTGGCTGGACTGGGCCTGGGCCCAGAAGCTTCCGGTAGGCCCCAGGATGTTGCACTTGTGTTGCAGCTACTGGGCCTCTTACAGTTGGGCCTCCCAACTGTCGGTGTATGAGGCTGCGATTCTCGCCCAGGGCGTGCTTTCTTGGAAAGGCCCAGAAGGCCGTGGAATGTCTCGCTGCTTGGCCTGTGTTTCCCTCAACCAACTTGTGCGTCGAAACTGCCTGGACCCCAAGTACGAAATTGACAGTGTAGGGCCTCTCGTGATTGTTAGGCCCGCCTTCACTTAGGGCGGGCACATCTGCTGCAAGAGGCCCCTTAGGCCTGCCGAGGACCCATACCCTCGCAAAGGGGAGTGAGCAGGGTTTGAGAGGGGGGCATTATATATGTAAATTCCTAAATTTTTGTGAGCATATAGTGCTTAGATGCATGATAGTATAGTTTGCTTGCGGGTATGTTGCTTTGGGCTCAAAGCCTGGTTCATCCACTCGCCGAATGTGGAAGTGGTGGACGTAGGGTGCATCACTGTTAGGGTCCTCCCAGGTTTGAACTGAGTTGGTGTGGTGCACTTTTGTGTTTTTGATTGCCGTGGTTGCCTCTGTTTTGGCAATCATGCTGTCCACCACTGCTGGCCCTGCCCTTGAGTACGCGAAGAAAAAAGGAATAAGAAAAGAACTCGTGTCAACGGCATAAGTATAGGGCCGTGCTTGTGTAAATGTGGCAGCTACCATCTTCACCCGAATAGAAAGCCCCGTCATTGTCGCTGTATTTGGTGTAAACTTTTGGTCCAAATACAGCGATAATGACCAGGCGTTCTATTCGGGTGAAGACGGTAGTTTATTATCCCATCCTTGTGCTGTTGCTGAGCTCAGCTCTAGGTGTCTAACAGGTTCTGGTTGAATGCAGAGTTTGCGGTGGTGATTGTGGCTTACCGAAGGAAGTGATATCTATTGGTTGTGGGGTCAAGGCAGTTGATGAAGTGTCACGCAGACCGTTTCTGTTGCAACAAACCTGAGTTGCTGCAAACTCGATTTTCAACCAGGCTCAGGTCTGGGACACGGCAGTTTTCCATAGCTGCCGCACAGAACTGTTCAATGTTGCTATTATTTCGTTGGCTGAGGACAGTTTGCTTTGGTCAACAACATTTTGATGCCTGAGCTGACCTCACATGCGGACTAGTCTTGACTGAAAGCTTAAGTGGAGACAGGATGTGCTACTTTCCGAGTATGTTCCTCCCCCCCCCCCGCCTCCCCCCCCCCGGGTAGATCAACTCTGAAATGACTGTGATATTGATGATTATCAGAGGTATACACTATCTCTTAGTCTGAGCTGATGACAGGAAAGGGTTGGGCGATATGTAAGAGTTATGTGCCCTGTCAATTGGTTTCAATTTTCAAACTTTCAAAAGTACAGAGTACTTTGTGAATTGAGCTCGGAATTTACAGTCTTAATGAAAGTGGGCTGATTCGAGAGAACGAAGCAGCTAAGAAAGACAGAAGAGACATCCATGTGTCCGAGGCAGCGCACAGTGCAGTTTTTTTTTTTGCTTCCCCCCTTTTTCCTTCTTCCTTTCCTCTTCCTTCTTTCCCGCCCTTCTTGTAGACGGGGGGAGATGGGCTTGAGATATCATCATTGAACTGATTGGCCCCAGGTAATTCTGAATAATTTTGATTCCATCTGGACTCGAACGTGAGTCTGTATTTCAGAAGTTCGCGGGTGTACTAACTGAGCTAGGAGCGAAATTCATCATCACAAACAGTTTCACAAAACCAAGCCTAAAGAGATTTGAATGGTTCATTGGTTCCACCGTTTGATGGGGACTTTTATGATGGATTGATCTGTGCCAGGTCAACTCTCTCCACATGGACTTCTTGTCGGTTTCGGAGCTTCTAGTGGAAATTGCAGATGATCTGTAAGTACTCTCTGGAAGAGGAATTGAATGCGCTTCCTATGGCAGTCTTGGAAAACATTTGTGTTTTGAACTGCAATCCATGAAGAAAAACTTTGTATAGTTGTGTTGTCATACCAAGTCGGTGTTGTCATAGCGGTATTGGGGATTAACTTGTCGCGTAGCTTTTCCAAAGTCTCGACGAAGAAGCTGTGCATATAGCAGTGTTGTCATAACAGTGCTGGGAATCGACCTGTATTTCCCATGTAGCTTTTCCGACAGACGTCCCTACTACGAAGTTGCTTTGCTGGGGTAAGAAAAGCAACTTGAATCCGCACTGAAAGAATGTTTCATTGGGGCAGTCAGAAAACATTTTGATTTATCACATGGTGACACTCTGGTTTCTCTTTGTTTTTGTTTTGTTTTTTTAATTGCCTTTACTTTTCGGTTTATGTGGGTTCGATCTCATGCCAGTCACGGGAGGAAGAAAACCCACAGGGCACACACGTCTCTAAGCACAGCTGTCAGTCTCATCGAGTGAGGCAACATAATATTTCAGAAAGTTGGTTTGTCAATCCTTGCAGGGCAGCCAAACCCGTAATTGTATTGCTTTCTCGTCTTTTTTCCCCCCAGTGTTCCCACCCTTTTTTGTTCGTTTTCTTCGAATATATGGGGAACATCTGCATTTACTATGCTATTTTCTTCTCTCGATGTTTTTTTTTTCCACTTCACACTAGCTAATTATTCTCCCAATATACCTCACACTACCGACCTACCTACCCAAGCTCACCAGGAAAGGGTTGAATCTACTAGCATGGACTGAGCCTATCCCCTCAGGGTTGAGCCTAACGCCTAGCACATGATGAAAGCAACGAAGGAAAAGCCCCTACCAAGACCAGCCAGGGGGGCAAGCCAACTATCTCAGCTGGTGAACCTGAAGCGCGCGGCGGGGGGCATGGGAGAATACCTGCTCGTTTTTATATTGTTACATTTGCGAAATACAATACTGCAATACAAACGTATGCTTGGATCTCCTGACATCACACACACACACACACACACACACACACACACACACACACACACACACACACACACACA